TGTGTGTGTGTGTGTGTGTGTGTGTGTGTGTGTGTGTGTGTGTGTGTGTGTGTGTGTGTGTGTGTGTGTGTGTGTGTGTGTGTGTGTGTGGATGAGGGGACAGTTTGGACAGAATCATTTTAATGACATCAAAACTTTCACGAGCGTACATTTGTTCACCTGACGCCATGTTTAATTTAACAGTTTATACTTTTAATTAATTACATATTAATCTTGTGTTCAGAGGCTGGAAAATGAAAACTCTTCAACATGTTCATGACCCAATAATTTCAACCAAGAACAACATCTCAGACCATAGTCATGATAAGTGCTGCTCCTCTTGGTGCATTCAGAGACAAATGAAAACGAGCTTATGTATGTGTGTGTGTGTGTGTGTATATAATATATTATACTTTGATATAAAACCTGAGGCAGCAGGTCAGTGGTGAAACCTCAGTGTAATCAAACCACTACAGATATTTCCTCACATTGTCGCTTCATTGCGCGTGTTTTACTTTGTGACCTTCACATGTGAACCGGTCACAGTCCGACACAATGAGACAATCAAAGAGTTTTTAATGTTTCAGTGTCATGAACACAAACTCGTGGAGACAATAGATGTTAATATCAGAAACAGACTGAGGCTCATTTCCTTTGGTAAAACAAACTTGGTGTAAATTAAAGGATCGTTTATTCAAAGTACTTTACGATGATGATTATAATCATTAATAACCTGAGACTGATTCTCTATAACTTCACTTTAATAAAGAAAATCAAAGGATCACTTGTACAGGTTGGTTTATGCACGTGCACCGGAAGTGGGCAGTACGTTCTCTGTGCGCGTGCAGCTCGGACCCACTTCTCCGCGCGCTCGTGTGTCGGAGCAGCTCGAGACGCGGATGATCAGTTCGGTTGTTTCCGGAGACGAGAAGAATCAATAACTTCCACGCGCCTGTTGCAGCGGCCGCTCCGCGCGCTCCTTCCGTGGCGGCGGACACGATGCTCGCGCTCACCTTCACGTGCACGGCGCTGCTCGTGCTCGTGTTCTGTGGATCGATTCATTCCGACAGATCTGCGGTAAGAGCCGAACTTAACTTAACTTAACCTAACTCAAATTAACTTAACTTAACTCAACTTAACTTAACTTAACTTAATTCAAATTAACTTAACTCAACTTAACTTAACTTAACTTAATTCAAATTAACTCAACTTAACTTAAATTAACTCAACTTAACTCAAATTAACTTAACTCAACTAAACTTAAATTAACTTAACTCAACTCAACTAAACTTAACTCAAATTAACTTAACTTAATTTACCTTAACTAATGAGCTAGTGACCTGTTTACTGAAGTGTGTGTTTGTGTGTGTGTGTGTGTGTGTGAGAGAGATTATTTATTAGGAAATTCTTGCTCATCATGTTATTTAACTAAGCAGACACCTTTGGCCTCAGACATAAGACGATAAATAAAAGATAAATAAAGCAGAAAATAAACTAACTCCTGTTAAACAGAAATATTGTGCATATTAAATAAAACCAGTAACTACATCCTCCTACAAAGTTCAATAGAAGCTTCAATAGAAGCTAATGAAACTCACTGTAAAAACATTTCGTTAATTTACATTTGTAGGTTTGTGCCTGAAGAAACTTATTTAGTCTGATGCTGATGAACTTTGGAAGTTAAATCAAACACTACATGTATTTGTCCCACACACACACACACACACACACACACA